TTACAACCTAACCAAACTTCCACTCCTAGTTTCGGTAGTTTCACCCCCTTAAAGATTGAATTTACAAAAATCGCTTCTTAGTGTATAATTACGCCGCTTAAGAGACCTCTGTGCAAAATTTCGTAATCCTAGAGATTTTAATAATTTTTTATGGAACCTTCTATCCCGAATTTCAACCCCTTAGTGGTCGAATTCACTGAAGCATTCATTGAGTCAATCTCCGATAGTCCCATTGGTTTGAAAATAAATGGCATTCCAATTAATAATATCCGATATGCGGATGACACAGTGATATTGGCAGACAATGCAAATGATCTCCAAATCCTTCTAAATAAGGTTAACAATGAAAGCCAAAGACTGGGTTTAAACATAAATACTACAAAAACTAAATTTATGGCTGTTACCAGAAACAATATTCCGAACACCAGAATTTACTTAAATGGAGAGGTCATCAACCAGGTCACACAATTTAAATATTTGAGACTCATGGTTAACAAAACGTGGGATCCAGATCAGGAGATCAAATGCAGGCTCGAACAAGCAAGATCTACTTTTCTGAGACTGCGAAGATTTCTCACAGATGGGAACTTGAACTTCGGCCTTAGATACAGAATGGTAAAGTGCTATGTCTGGTCCGTTTTGTTATATGGGTGGAAGCATGAACACTGAAGGTAGCAATAATAAACCCTGGGTTGGCCCTGGGTTGGCCGTGTGAGGAATGAAGACATTCTCAGAAGAGCTGGTCTAGAAGAAGGTGAACTCTTCGAAATCATCAAGAAGAGGAAAATAGCCTATTTGGGACACATACTACGTGGAGAACGCTATCACTTTCAGCGTCTGATTCCCAAGGGAAAAATAGATAGGGACAAAAGGGGAATAGGTCGAAGGAAGCTATCCTGGCTGAGAAATATTCGTCATTGGACAGGCATACAGGACTTCCAAGCACTCCAAGTCGCTGCAGTTAATAGAACCATCTGATGAGGAAGAAAAAGATGAACGCCTACGCAGGAATCTGAACGGCACCTTAAGAAGAAGCGGTCGAATTTTCAAAATCCCTTCTTAGTGCTCACTTACATCACTGAAGGAACGTATTTGCCAAATTTCGTGTTTCTATGTCAAGCAGTTTCCGCTGTGTTTTTTTTAAGTCGCATTTGATTATATCCACAATACTATACATCTTAGATATACGTGTAAGTACGACCCATCATAAATACTCTAAGTAATTCTTTTGGTTCAGTATCAATTTCAAGTGCAAATTTAATTATAGGACCATACAAGTTGGGAAGTCGGAGGGAAAGGGCCCATAAATATATTTTTTGTCATAGTGTCTAAGAAAAAGACCCTAACAACAAAAGGCCACTTGGTTGCCTCTTCGATGGCGTGGCAATATCTGTCGGCCTAGGCCGTAAAGGTCGTCATGGCAACCTTTATGGACTAAAATGTCTAAATTCGTTATTTGGTTGTTTTATTTTGTCATTCGAAATTTGTCACAAAATCACATAAAATTATACATATATTTATAATTAAATTATTAAATACTAACAATATCAAAAGCTAAGTTATTTGTTTAAAGTAAGTACCTAGGTACCTATTTAAAAAGAGGCTTTTAAATTAAAATATTCTTAAATTACAGTCACAAACATTCAAACCATCGTCAATTTGGTCGAAATATTCCATGCTGAGAGCAGTGTTAAGTGTTAAAGAAGATATTTATATTGACAAATTTCCAAAACTTATTGCTTTTTTTGAAGAGGAATTCGGTTGGTTACGAGCCTAAAAAAGTCTAAGGTTTTGTCCATAAAAGAGATCGGTGATTTTTGGCCACGGCTAGTGATGAAACTTATTTACTTACTAAGGTAAGTTTGCGATAATGATTTTAAAATATATAGATGGTTTCTTATTCCATTGTATTTGATTTTTAAATTATTAAATACTAACAATATCAAAAGCTAAGTTATTTGGAAAAATAAAAATGAAATGAACAATTTTGTGCATTTTGAAAACTTGCATCTGCAATCGAAACGACTCCTCCATTGGCAGGTAAATTTACTTTCTGATGAGGTGGAGTAAATGCGAACGATGATGTACTTGGTAATACATCCGTGGAAGTGGTCGCGATTTTCTTTTCCCCCATTAGCAGTTTGCAAACTTTCTTCTTTTTCTCAATAGATTCTTCTATGTAACCTTCGGCCACTGTGGACGACCTAAATAATTATTGTTGTTTAGAACAAGATCGGAAAATATTAAAATTTTTACCTCCAACCTCCTAGGCGTTTCAGCGATGTAAAATCCACATCTGCATCTGCAGCAAGAGTAGCAGAACTACGTCGGAAACAATGACCTGTATATTCGTTTGGGTTCGACAACTTTAAAAATGCTGCTACAATCGATGGCATCTTCCCAAATGAATGAATGCCGACTCGTTGCACGGTGCATTTTCCTTTACGATAAGAGATGAAGACATAATCATGTGGTACATTTTTTGGCCTAAGACAAGCATATTTTCTATACAACTCAACTGGATTGACAACGTTCCCTTCGTTCACCACCGGAAACACTCTTTTGATATTAGTTTTTGTATCCGCAAGGGTAACTAAAAGGCAGCTGTTGTCTTTTTCTATGATGTCTTGCACTCGTGAGAGTACAATTCTTCTCTTCTACATGCTCCACAAAGGCCAATGACAAGAGCTACCTAAAAAATCAAATACAATGGAATAAGAAACCATCTATATATTTTAAAAATCATTATCGCAAACTTACCTTAGTAAGTAAATAAGTTTCATCACTAGCCGTGGCCAAAAAAATCACCGATCTCTTTTATGGACAAAACCTTAGACTTTTTTAGGCTCGTAACCAACCGAATTCCTCTTCAAAAAAGCAATAAGTTTTGGAAATTTGTCAATATAAATATCTTCTTTAACACTTAACACTGCTCTCAGCATGGAATATTTCGACCAAATTCGACGATGGTTTGAATGTTTGTGACTGTAATTTAAGAATATTTTAATTTAAAAGCCTCTTTTAAATAGGTACCTAGGTACTTACTTTTTTTCGTGGAAATAATTTAGCAATACATCTTCATTTACAACGAATACGCCATTTTTGTCTTTCCATTCATTAAAAACATCATATTCTTTCTGGTAAATGGCACGAGACTTCACAGGAAGTAAATCCAACACGATTTCTTTGGCCTTATTAGCAATATGTTCGGGATTTTGGAACATTTTAAAATTGTTGATGAATTTGTGTGATTTTGTGACAAATTTCGAATGACATGTCAAAATGCGATGAAATAAACAAACTCGTTACTAAGATATGAATTTATAAGCCAACTTTTTTCAAACATTATAATTTCAAATATGGAAAATTTGCAAATATGCGTTCTAAAAAACTGTAAAAAGCGTATGACAAAAAATAGTGTATGTAACACGTACCTAAATTATGTTTTTTAGGACTCATCTACTATTTCGGACTCGGCTAACGCCTCGTCCGCAAACAGTAATGATTCGTCCTAAAAAACATCATTTTAGGTACTAGTTACATAAATAGCTATAATCATAGTGTCTAGGAAAGGCCCTAACAACAAAAGACCACTTGGTTGTCACTTCGATGGCGTTGCAATATCTGTAAAGTCTTTCAAACTCTAGGTTCATCAGCTGAGAAGAGACACTCAAGACTGGTATCAGTGAATGAGAATTGTTAAGGCGGCCCGGATAGTAGAGCCATCGATGGATGCACTTTTATGGTGGACGATTCACTACATCATAATGCACTTTCTTAACTTAAATAGACTTAACTAGACTTAAATTACCTTAATTAGACTTAAATTTTTATTTCACTGTTCAATACCCTTCACCACTACAAAATATATTGGAATGGAAAAACGCCGTACATACTATTCAGTTCTTAATAGTAAGATGTCGAATTCGAAGGTTGTAATCAAATTACTATCATACCCTCATATTTTACTAAGTTCATCCTCGTACAATATGTCAGAGTCCCAAGACAGTCACCTATATCTTTGTGGAATGTAAATATTTGTTCCAATTCAGAACCAGCGTTGATCTCAATAGCTTCCTAACCAACATCTTTTCAACACGGGAAAGACTAAATTATTTGCCTTTTTGAAGGATACTGAATATCACCTCAAGATTTAACGGTCAAGAAAAAACAAAAACTAAGGAAAACACGAATTAACGCTGCTAAATACCCATTGATGCTAATGCGGCTTCAACCTAAAATGCTACTTCTTCAACTTGGTTCACCTGTTCTACAAGCAACGACCTCAAACTCAAACAAAAACTTAAAAGGGTCTTCTGGCTTTTCGTTCGTCGGCGTACGTTTAATATTAGTCCATTGGATCGATAAAGGCGGACTGGCCGACGACGTTTTCACGGTAAAAGACCGGTCCGGGCGACAAAAAATAAATTAAACAGGCTGGAAAAACGCTCTATTAAGTCCGGCCAAGCAAAAAGCCTTTTATTCAAACGCATTACACAACTGCGACGCGTAACGAATCGATGAAAAACATTCGTAACCATCGGACGCCGATCCTGTACAACATCCGACTCGATTATTTTTATTTTTAGTGGTGTGTTTTTTGTTTGACTCTCTTCTCGTTCTCTCGTGCACCGACCGAGAAAACAGAAAAACCGCTCAACAAATAATTGTATTTTCGGATAAAGAATTTAATATGGATTTAGTACGGGAGCAGAATAACACGAAGAGCAAGGTTGGAACTATCTCTGAGAGATAAAGTCACGAATATCGAAGTACAAGACAGAACCAAGGTCGAGGACGCCATAGGAAAAATAACTATTTTAGAATGAAATTCCTGATGAAATTGGGCAGGGCACATTTCAAAGGTAAAAGATAATCGATGGACAAAGAAAATTATAGCATGGAGACCAAGACATGATGCATTCAGGAGAAGAGGCCGTCTTCCAAATAGATGACATGACGACGTAAGACGTATCCACATTATATATATACAAATCACTTCATAACGTCCTTCGCCGTCTTCTGATTTCCAGTCTCCTTTGGTCTCTGTATGTCCAGAAGTTTTTGTCTATTCCTCTTGTTCTGATATCCTCGTCTATTCCTTCTCTCCAATTCCGTCTAGGTCTCCCTCTCTTTCTTTTACCTTGTGGTGTCCAATTGAGTACCTTCTTTGGAATTCTGCTCTCTTCCAGTCTTTGTACGTGCCCGTACCACCTAAAGCCCATGATGTTCTGAATTCTTTCATTTCTTACTCTCTCCAGTTTCGATATCCCGGCCGCGCGCCTCCAAAAATCCATTTCTGTAGCTTCGAATAACTTAAGGTTTTTTTCTTTCAAAGGCCATATATCACTACCATAACTAATGATGCTTTTAACTATGCTGTTATAAATGTTGTGTTTGTTTTGTTTTGATACTGCCTTATCCCATAGAATACTGTTGAGTTGTCTAATTGCTTGTCTTCCCTGGTTGTCTCTGAACTTAATTTCTTCATCAAGGCTACCATCGTTGGCAATGTGCATGCCAAGATATTTATATTTTTGGCAGTGTTTTATCTTTTGCTCTAGGATTAAGTTCTGTTGTTCGCCGCCGATACACATATATTCCGTCTTCTTGAGCTTTACCTCCAGCCCCCACTTGTTGTACTCTTCAATTAGTTTGCGGGTCATATATTCCAAGTCCTCGTAGTCTCGAGCCAGTATTATTTGATCATCAGCGAAACAAAGAGTGTAAAGTATCTAGTCGTTTAGTGGTATCCCCATCTGTTCACCAGTTCCTTTTCCACGTTTTCAGAGCTCATTCCAAATAGATTTTAAACAGTGACGGGGACAGACAGCAGACCTGTTTAAGATATCTTTTATACTAAATCCCTTTGATACTGTTTGTCCTTTCGTTGCTTGGCTAGTGTTGTTCTTTTAAAGCGCTTGGACATCCTTAATTAATGTTATGCTGATATTAGTTTTCTCGAGAGCTTCCCACAGATTAGACTAGTTAGACTTGGGTACACTATTAGACTTGGGTACACTATCATTTGCTTTCTTGAGGTCTATGTAGAGGAGATGTATTTCTTGATTTCTTGCCATCTTTATCTCAATTATCTGTGTCAGTGTAAATAAATGGTCGACCGTAGATCTACCATCTCTAAATTCCGCTTATTCTTCAGCCTCCATATCCCGGTATTCTTCCTCAATTCTCTTTTTGACCAATTTTCCATAGACCCCTGAAACAGAGCTCAGCACGGAGATTCTTCAATAGTTATCGCAATCGTCTTTACTTCCTTTCTTGTGTATTGTTGTTATATATGATGTTTTCCATTCTTTCGGTGTATTTTCACCATTAAGGCACTTTTGGAAAAGACTAGCAAGCTGCTTATATAATTTATCCGTGTCGTATTTAAGTAATTGAGGAATTTCACCTAGACCTGGCGATTTTCTATTTTTCAGGGTTTTTGCTTAGGGGAAGTTGCCTAAGAAAGGGAGTTATGTAAGTATAAGAATCAAGACACTTCTGGGTAACAACCTCGACGCTTATACTACACAAGACAACCCGAAATCAATTCGTCGCCGGAATATCGAAACCAAAGCAGAGCCGTTTAATTGAAAAAAGTCATCAACGACAGCGGCTTCAGCACCAACATCAACAAAACAAGAGAGAAAACAAAGGCGAAGAAGAGAGAAGACCACGTCGTCGCTCGGTCTTTTTTGAAATTCCAATTTTCTGCCGTATTTATACTAACAAAGTGTTTAAGAGGGCCCACGGCGCGCTTTTTTCACATCCTCGGAAGGCGAACAACCGACAGACGCGGCCGACCAATGGGAAGAGAAAACGGCCAGTCACCGCCACTTGCGGTAGAAAGGATTACACCGACAATTTGTTGAATTTAAGATTAATCGAAGGTTCGATGGCTGAAATGTATTATGTTTGTTTACACAGTCCTGTACGAAATGTGTTTGTTTATGTGTGTACATTATTTGTCTACTAATATCCATATGTGCAAATAATATACAAAAAAGTAAGTAATTTGGTCAAGATAAATAACCAACCATACAATGTATTAGCGTTGATTGAAGAAATAACAAGATGCGCAACCTTATGGGCGATTTCATGGCACAAAACATGTCCGAAACGTAGCTGGCGTTACCATCAGTCTGTTCAAGATTTAATTTAGCTGTGCGCCGCTCCATTCTGGTAGTGGTTTACAGCGCAGCGGATAAAGAATATTGTAACGTAGTTCTGCTTTCAATTGACAGAGTGAGTGGCGACCGGATACAGTGTTACCAGAACTACGGATTAATCCTTCGATTTATGGATTTTGTGTACAGTACGCTAATAATAGATACGGATGTTCTATCATTAAACAATTTAATATAATGTTATATGATTAAACAAAGAACGGAATTGGCAGAGTTGGCTTGGAAATGAGGATCACTGTTATTTCACATTAAATATTATGGAAAATGTCAATAATCGTCATTTTCAAGCGAACTAAATGACTTTTTTCGATCATACGAAATATTCAGTACCTATAAAAGAATTTTTATTTTTGTTGTGTATTCTAAGTTGTTTAACACAAATAAATTTTGAATACATAAAGGACGGATATTGTATCCAAAAATATTTTTGTCAAACGTATTACAGATATTACACATTTTAATATGGCAACACTGTCGCTTTTAGTTCCACACAGTCTTCGATATGCTTTCGCTGCGCTGCGCTGGCCGAATTAGAGAAAATAAGTGTTTTAAGCGTTGGTCGCAGAACGATTGGTGGCTCCATCGTACAGAGCTTGAGACGTAAGGGAAAATCAAATCAGAACCTCCCAATTAGTGGTTTCTTATACATTACACTTTATACTTTTTAGTTTACGATCATTCAAAATGTCTAAAAAACACAATTCAAATTACTAAAATATCCTAGCAACAGCTTGCGGTTGTCTGTTGTATCCATAGAGAAAGCATAATATTTAGCTTATAAAACAATAAACTTTTGATTTCTAACCAAAATTTTTCTTGACGGGTGATAATCAAAGGCCAAAATGACATTCCTCGCAAATTTTGAAGTATAATTAGGGGAAAAGTCAAAAGTTTGTTAACTTTTTCCAATAACTGAAAATTACTACCACTAATTATGACGTTCTGAATGCTTACATTAAAATTAGGCGAACAAAATTCTACGACTAATAGAAACTACTAATTTATTCCATTGATTTCGAGGTTCTGAATGAAGCTTAAAGTCATCTTAATATACAAATATCTGCCATTTTTGAACTGTCACCGATGTTGTCAAAACCGCGTTGGGCAAATTACAAATAGCCCGCGCGTCGCGGTAATTGGCGAGTTTGGCGAGCCCCGTTCGCGCTTTGATGTGGCTGCGACCGCGCCGGCCGATGTAGCAGCGTCGGCGATGGACGGAGCTGAGCAGCGGCGGCCCCCTGTGATTAGGACGGAGCCGCCGGTACCGGGGCCCGGCTACCAATCGAGAATCGGACCGGGCCCCGATTACAGAGAAAATGCCGATGGCGAGGCGATCGACGACCCGGCCGGGCGCAAAAAGGAATGCCAAAGAAACGATCGAAGTCGAATCCTCGGCCAGCCGGTAGAGAGACCAAGGTCCGTCCGGATGAATTCGAGATTAAGCACGGATTATGATGGGTGACGGATATTTGTTTTTCCTGGCGGTTGTGACCAAACGGTTATGTAATCGGGAGACATCGTCATCATCATGATTTAGCTTATCACGTCCACTGCTGAACAAAAGCCTCAGTTAACTCTAGCCATCTATTTCTATTTTGTGCCACTTGAATCCAATTTCCAGGCACTCTTTTTATATCGTCTGTCCATCTAGATTGGGAAGTCGTCCTCTGCTTCTATAGGCCTTGGGTCTTCATTCCACAAGTGTGTCCACCCTCCATCTGTCCTACAGTTCCATTTAAGATGTAAAATAGATATATACCGGGTGCGTCTCAAATGTGGTTCACCCCTATAACTTTTTTAATTTTTCAGATAAAAACAACGAAATATGGTATGTTAGTATGTGACATAAATTAGGATTGATTGACGTATTCAATTGTTTATGGTGACTTCCTCTTTCACCGGAAATGACTTCAAGTTTTGATATTTAAATGACACCCTCGGTATTTTTTTACTTTATTCGATAGAAAATGTCACTCTGAATAGAATAACATATCATATGTCAACTTTTGACATTTTCGCATATGGTTTATTTATGTAACATGCGGTTTAAAACGACAATTTGACTCGAATAACCAAGTGTGCGGTACCAAATTATTCTTAAAAAATGTTTTTTTCCAAATATGCTAATGAGCCACCCTTGTTCCATTTGAAAAAATTGAGATATGATTAAAAATAAAATTTGAGCAACTTTTAACCGGCCAGGAGAAGACACGAAAAACATTAGACGATAGACTATCAAATCTATTTTTTCATGGCTCCTTGATTCAAAATTAGTGTTTTTAACGCAGCCATGGCATTCTAGATTGAAATTTAAATTACAATTTGTTTTTAAGCGAAAATGCCAAAAGTTGACTTATGATATGTCATTCTATTCAGAGAGTTATTTTTTATCTATCTAAAGTAAAAATATACCGAGGGTGCCATTTAAAAATCAAAAGTCATAGTCATTTCCCATGAAACAGGAAGTGACCAAAAATAATTGAACACGTCAATCAATCCTAATATATCAAGACTCAGGACAATTAGTCGTCCCATTTGGTCTGCAGCAGGCACCGTGCAGAAGGCCGTCCTCTTGGTCCTTTAATTTGTGACTAACTAATAACTTCTTCATATTGCCTGTTCCAAAATAATAATGCCACCAAAATATTTTAAATAATTTCTACTCACTTTGATGCGAAGAGACATCTTTATTCTTATTTCTTTTAGGATTGAGTACATCAATAATTTGTCTATCGGCTTATTCCATTGTTCATGTTATGGACGATTATGTCGATATGGAGGAGATGAATACATAACATCTCACTACACTGTGTTTTATTTTTAAAGGGTTTAGAAAATCTGCTGACAGACTGTCCCCACCTGTTGGTCTAGCGATAGGGGTTGTGTCGGGTTTGCTTGTAGCGACCAACTAAAACCCTTTTTCCTGTTTTCTCTCTCAAATACGGCTAGAACTGCCCTAAGCATTACTTCAACCTCACAAAATACCTCACTTCACTATATTCATCTGCTGACACTTGTACATTCTTAGGAAGACTGCTACGTTGTCTTTCGTAATTTTATGCACAAACTCGTACGTTTGTACCCTATGTGCTTCAAACTTTGGACATAAAAACAATGTGTGTTCTAGGGTATCTACCTCTTCTGCACAAAACCAACAACACGCATCCTGCTGTTTTTTTATTCTTTGCAGGTATGAGCTAAAAACCCCAGAACCAGTCATAGCCTGTAATGTATAAAAATTGATATCACAACAATTTCTTTCGCACCATTTTCTAATATCTTTAATGAAAGTCTTAGCCCACCCTCGTATTCATGCCATCTTGTTTGCCACTGTGCATAACTCATCTGCTTAGCCTCCGCAGCATAATCTTTCCCTCTTTGATAAATGAGGTCCTGTTCTTCCACTAACAGTTCTATTGGAGCCATTCCTGCAAGAGCTGGAACTGCTTCTCTTGAAGCGCTTCTGTAGTCGTTCT